GTACGTAGTAAAAAGGTACATTAACAACTGAAATAAGAAGAATCGAACAGAACGGCAGAAATAAGAATTACAAAATTGGTAAAATTAGTGAAATTATTTTAATAAAATTGTCATAATGGTAAAAATGTTTCGGTCCATTAAGTCGTATACATTTCTTACCATTACCACAATTGGACCTTGCCAGTACGACGACTGTAGTAACTGTAATTAGTATAAAGTCTGTTTTGACAGACTGGCTTCGGAAATGAATTCGTTCGTGCAAAGAAATCACACGAGCAAGCAAACCTGGTATGGTCTGAGCACTGCTACGATATCGTTGGTGCAAATTTCCCAGTTTACCAGTGTTTCATGGGGTAACGAATTCAGAAAACCTTCCACATTTTCCGTTTTCCTCGCTTCTTTTCCTTGCGCAGGACCTTTGTATGGGACCTGAAACTTTTTTTATGTGATCAGTATACTCGCTCAAACATCGAATATACAGCATCACAGTGGCAAATCAAAAAAAAGAAAGAGTAAAAGACCGGTACTTTTGTAGAATCTGTTGCGCAAGATCATTGGCAAAGTGCCAAGTACACACCGACATTAAAATAGTCTTTTAATAACTAGTTCGTCGCATGAAAAACAACAGCAGTTTGGGCTCCACGCTTATTTTTCCCTTAATTTTTGGCACCGGCTAGAATAAGCGGGTACACACAGCACATACACACATACATACACACACAGACATACATACATTACATACACACATACGCACTTGCAAAAAGGTATAAACATATATATATATATGTATATATATATATGTACACAGACATACATGCAGACATACATATATACATACACACATACATAAATACGTACATATACATGCATACATTCACATACACGTATACGCACATATACATACCCACATACATACATAAACACGTATATACATGCACGCATTCACACATATATACACACACGCACACACATGCACATGCACACACACACACACACACACACACACACACACACACACACACACACAAAGCAGATAGGCAAAGTTATGGTATTATTCTTTACTTACGAATGTATAAAAAAATGTTTTTCACGACAATTTACTGGGAAAAAAGAACAACCAGCATGGGTCAGCTGAGACACAGATAAACAAATGGACAAAGCAAAGCCAGATTTTTCGGCTAAAATGTGATAGATTACACGGAAAAACAAAAAAAAGAGAAAAAAAATCAAAAAAAAAAACAAAGACAGCTTACCAGTTCCGGGAAAAATATAGCGAAAATAGATTTGACGTCCACTGCTTCCCTCATATTAAAATATATAATTTCATTGCTCAGAGCAATTCGCTTTATATAAAAAGTAAAAACCAATCCACCATCGTCACTGACCTGCCCCGTCAATTCGAATGATCGCGTAAATCTAAAAAAAAAATTTGTGCATGACAGCAATTTCGGAGATACCTTTGGACGTTTTTGCATTGCATAGAGTGAAACTGACTTACTTTATACAAGAAAGTTTCGAAAACATCCATGCCGTTGCTTCGTCCAATTTTCCAAAAGCATGAGGCCATGCATCACTGTCATGCAGCCATTTCTGTTGCAATCTTTCTTTTGAATTAAGCCATGCACCAAACTGCAACATACAAAACCATAATTTGGGTTTTGCACGAATATATGACAGCAAAGCGAAGGGGAAGTGGGGTGGGAAGGGGAGGGGCGAAAATCTAATTTTTTAACAAAATTTCCACCAACCAAAGAGGGTGCGTGATAAAAAACAAGGTAAAATTAGCAAACGAAGAAAACAGCATGAAAATGAAATGGAAATTTAAAAAAAAAACCACAGATAACAGTTGAAAGATACCCTAAATCCGCAGCAAACTTGACAAAATACAATATTTCGACGACAGTTCGTTCTTAGTTCACGAACTACATTAATATTGCGGACATTTCGCGGTTTGATTACTGCTCGCCAAACAATACAATTCGATAGCGTCCCCTGCGCATCAGGGCGCATACAGTCGATCCAAGTCTGCAAAACCGCAACTGATTTTATTACGATTTTTTTATACAGCAAAAAGCATTATGCCCAATTCATGTTTTTTTTTTTTTTATGAAGACAGTACTTTTTATCAGAGACCGATCCAGGGCGACATTCTGGGGCGCATACAATCGATCCAAGTCTGCAAACCGCAACTGATTTTATTACAATTTTTTTATACAGCAAAAAGCATTATGCCCAATTCAGTTTTTTTTTTTTTTATGAAGACAGTACTTTTTATCAAGGGCGAATCCACGGCGGCATCCTGGGGGAGGG